CCACATAGAAAGTTGCCTTACGCAATAGACTTTCCAAACTGAATTCGAAAGTTAGAAACTGTGGTAGCCATTTGAGCGAGATTGTGGATATCTTATCTCACAAGATTACAATTAATCAGGGCCGGATTAAAAAATGTTTTAATTTGTCATCATCATCATCATTACAGCTACACTTAGTCCACTGCTGAACATAGGACTACCCAAAGAATGCCACAAGATATTTTCTTTAAAAGCTCCCTTTGTAAGTTTTAAATTGAGAGCCATTATGTCATTATGCGATTGTCCTCCCGCATGTCTTTCCAAGTCGTCACTCCATCTAGTGGGAGGCCGCCCGACTCTTCGGCTACCGGTATGAGACTTTGATTTGTGTGAAACTATAATTAAGTACCTACCTATATATTTTCTTTAAAAGCTCCCTTTGTAAGTTTTAAATTGAGAGCCATTATGTCATTATGCGATTGTCCTCCCGAATGTCTTTCCAAGTCGTCACTCCATCTAGTGGGAGGCCGCCCGACTCTTCGGCTACCGGTATGAGACTTTGATTTGTGTGAAACTATAATTAAGTACCTACCTATATATTTTCTTTAAAAGCTCCCTTTGTAAGTTTTAAATTGAGCCCTTTAAGTTATTATGCGATTGTGCAATCTCAGTGTCGTATTTTCCGATATAGAGCGATTTAACAGCTGCCACAGCCAAACTCGTTGGATATCAGGGTTAAAGGCATTCAGTTGGTGTTTTAGTATTTGTTTTCTCCTGTCGGATATAGGTTTGACGTATCAACTTTATAAATTACATCATAGACTAAACTGGAGACTTAAATAACATCAAGTTACTTAAACTGTTGACTTCAAAATGCTATATTTCAAATGATCCGCAATCCCTTAACTTTTATGGAAAGTCATTGAAGTAAAAGTATTTACTTAACTGAGTAAAATACTTCTGTATTATATCAATAAATTCCCTTATATCGTCTCAAGAAGAAAATGGCCTGTTTCGAAATCGCAACGCCGTGTTCTACGCAAGATCATCGACACCACAACCGCGTATCAGTTTTGCACCCAGCCTAACCGACAACGCGGGAAAAGCACACTGGCACTCTCTTAAAAAGGCCTGTATCCGAAGTTAATAAAAAAATTCTGATAAATAAAAAGAAGAAACAGTTCATTATTAGAATTATTATCATTTAAAACCATAACAAATGGATATACAAGATTGGATGCAAGGGTGATGTAACAACTTCTCCAAGTCTTGTTACGGATGGCGAGTCCCACCAAGATGTCCGCGTCAGCAGAATATTCTGGATGTAGACCATAGACAGATGCGCAATAGACAAACTGAAACTGTCGCGTTTCTGCGTGGGCTCTCATGAAGTTGTTTTAAGCATAGAATGTTAAGTTAGTTTTAAGCGAGTTCTGGTAGAGATTTAACGTCTTTTAATTAGTAAATTTGTATTTTTTCCCTGCATAACTTGACTACCAAGCTTATCACAAAAGGGACTGTGAAGATGAAAAAATGGCAGTCTACCCATTCGAACATTACGTACCCAAATGTCCAAACATTTGAACGAACCAAAACAATCAACATCAGTAGATTTAAAGAGGCTGGTATGTTCAAAAATAAACGACATTCAATTAGAGCGGGTAGCGTGACCTTGTGAAGTCGACAGTAAAGCCCAACCTTTCCACTTCAATTACGAGGTGTGTAAAAAATAAGTAATCATATATCTATATATGTATACGTGGTAGAGCCACGCTGCAGCTATATTAGAAGTATAGTTGTAGCACGAATAGGTCGGCTCGACCGCGAAAGGACCACGCTCTCACAGAATACCAGCGTAAAATGGCAGCTTGATACTGCTGTGTTTCGTATGGTCAATGTAGAGAACCGGAGACCCATTTTGCTGGAAAAGAGGCATTCCATCTTAGTCCTCGTGAGTGACGACGCATCTGCATTATGATCCTTTATTGAGGATAGATGTAGATGTCTGTGGGTCACAGCAACCACTTACCATCAGGTGGACTGTGTGCTTGTTTGTCACCCTATGGTATAAAAAAATTCTACATGTAATAAAAAATACAATAAATCCGACCCTGTAGCATGTACAAGTTCGCTTACTACATGTTTAGCGGTAGAACTACTGTTTGACCCGTTGACGGTGCTGTGGGTAGTAATAATATTACACGAACCATGTTGTGAGTAAACAATACTGAGAATGGAATAAGACCGTCAATTAGTGTTACTAGCGTGAAAAACAACATAGCAATGCAATGAATGGGAGGGAAATGCTTTGAATACGAGGAAAATGTTTTGTTATGATTACTTATGAGTTGGTTCTAATAGTGAACAATTTGTTTTGCTTCCTTTTTAGCGTCCGTTGCCAAAAATACCAAAACGTTTTTGTGATAAACTGTTACAGGCTGGATAGTTGGCATCATCACTAATAAATCACCTTTGGTTATAAATCACTTTTGGTGATTTATTAGTGATGATGATGATGATTCTTAAACTTTCTTTGGTCGGTTTCCATTACTCTTATATACTCGTAAGTGAGGCGGTAAAACTTTTTATTTTTTTAAAAACTTAACAATTATTTAAATGTTAAAAAATATTTAGCAATCGAAGCTACGCCACATACTTTTCTTACGTTAAAATATTACTTTTTTGGTTCATAGCCGCCTCACATGACTTCCACATTTTATGGCTAAAATTAAGTATTTCATCTTTTCCTCAAGAGTCTTTGTTCTCAAGAGTGACCGCCCACCTGCATTTCAATTCTTAAACAACTATAGATGAGAGTGCATATACGCCACAATATCATAAAGTATAATTTAGCCAGTGTTTTAAATTGTCAACCTTACTTCTATACTAAAACATCAGTAAGTAATAAAATAGCAGTGAAAATATTTCAAAGAAGTCTCTCTTTATCGATTCATTTCATCCATCCATTACAACCTATAAAAGTGCCACTGCAGAACAAAGGCCGCTCCCATAGATTGCCTCATATAGAGGTTTATGCTATAGTTGCCACGCTTTAGCAGGCGGGTTGGCAACCGCAGTTAAGGTTGACAAACGAGCATACAGTCCACCTAATGTTAAGTGGATGCTGTAGCTCGTAATCCTGAGTACAAGATTCTGTAGTATTCTGTGAGAGGGTGGTCCTTCCCAGGTTGAGCTGACCCATCCTTGCTACTATAATATAGCTGAGCATGGCTCTGCCAATTAACAATCTTGGCGATGGTATTAACATGAGTTAAAAACGTTTCCGTGTGACAAGCAAAAGTTATTTTCGCGCTTCTACAGTTGAGAAAAATGGCACCCCTTAATGTAAGTGCCAGTAACGTAATATCACAAACGTAAAAATATAATTTCTTTAAATTATCGTGTAATGGTGGTGTAAGAATATCCACTAGCCCATATCATCCCGTGGGTGTCGTAAAAGGCGACAGACGGAAACTGAAATAGGAGATGGGCACCAGCATTATTCTTCATAACAATTCAAAATTATAAAAATCTACAGTAGCAAACCCGCCTAAATACCAACATCCGCCCTTATGAGCTACTCTAAGGGAGAGGCCTATGTTCAGCAGTGGACTATTATAGGCTATAATGGTTGGATGGATCATTGTCTATTTGTGGCCTTCATTAACGTGATCATTTAAATGATTATCTTTGCTAAAAAAAAAAAAAACAAAGAAGAAAATGTCAATGTGGATTTCGGATCTGCTTCAAGTAGTTTACATTTGTGAAAGTATATTTTAAAAAGTCGCGCGAATATAATAGGAAAGTACTATCGCGTCGGTTTTCTCGAGACTATACATTCATAAATGTACTTTTGGCTTTCAAGTCATCAAAATATTTTGCAAATATTCTTACTGTGGATTCAAAAACCCCATATCGTACCGTGGGTGTCGTAATTGACGGCAGAAGGAAACTGTAATAGAAGACTGGCAGCATCGTCTATTTGATAACGGCTCTACATGACAGGACTGTTTGCTAGAAGGGGTTTGGAAAAAACAATCCCGTGACTAATATAATGATAGATTTTTTTACGAAAAGTCCAAATCTTCCTAGCCTATAACCAACAGTTGGTTAACATATTATGTAAGGAGTGCAAACCACATACCAGATTACTTTACTTACTGCTCATATATTTATTACATTTATTTACTGCTCTTATATCACTGTGTATTCTGTGTATAATAATTATACCGGTTGTTTTTTTTTTAAAGAATAAGGGTGAAAAATGTGCACATAGTCCACCTGATGGTAAGTGGTTGCTGTGGCCCATAGACATCTACATCTATCTTCGTTTTCGCAGTTGTCAGCCGTGAGTACTAAGATACAATGCCTCTTTTCCAGTAAACAGGATCTCCGGTTCTCTACACTCACCATACGAAACACAGCAGCATTAAGCTGCTATTTTACGCTGGTATTCTGTGAGAGCGTGGTCCTACCCCGGTCGAGCCGACCCATTCGTGCTACAACTACACTATTAATATAGCTGCAGCACGGCTCTACCACGTAAAGATATACTAAACAAAGAATAATACAATTTTAAATTATTAAAGAGCAGCATAACTTTCGTAAGTTTTACGTCCACACACACAACGGTTATGAAATATTTTCCGTGTTATATCAGTAAATTATAACATTAAATTTTTTTCTCCCTCAAAGTTTAAACTTCCGCTGTATAATAATTAATTAATAATATGAAAACTTTTCGAAATAGTTTCTATAGCTCAAAAATACTGTCCTATATCAGATTAGTTTTTTAAAAACGAAAACAGAATAAAACATCTAGAATTAAATTCAAATTCGGATACTTCTTTTTGATAGAACAGAAATTCACAGTCATTTATAATATTTTACACAGTCTACATCAAAATTAAAAAAATCGTATAAAAAATATAAAACATTAAAACCATAATTTTACAAAATTGTCTAGTGAACATCCATTTTGTTTGACTAAGGAAGATTTCATTTTTGAAAAAATTTGAATAATGGCGTGCTGCGGTCCGTGTGGTCCATGTAGCCCCTGTGGCCCCTGTGGCCCTTGTGGACCTTGTGGACCTTGTGGTCCATCCTGTGGACCTTGTGGACCCTGTGGTCCGTGCTGTGGGCCTTGCAGACCTTGTTGCGGTCCTTGCAGTCCGTGTTGTGGACCCTGCGGCCCCCGAAATTGTGGGCCATGCTGTGGTCCATGTGGGCCGTGCTGTGGCCCGTGCGGACCTTGTGGACCCTGTAATCCTTGCTGTCGACCCTGTTGCGGTCCCTGTGGCCCCTGTTCACCGTGTGGTCCCTGCTGAATCAAATGGTTTCGAACTAGTGTTGTAAGTGTAATGATTCAAATCAATGTGTATCTCGAATTTGTAACAGTGTTTTTATCAATGTATTTTCTAAGAATAAAAGTTTTTTGGCAAGTTCATTCTTTAATTTCCTCTATTTAGCAGTTTCGATACATTTTTTTCTATTTTACCTTATAGCATTCAAAAATATTGTTCGTATTTAGTGTGCATTGGGAGGTGTCTTGAAAATTTGTTTAAAAATGTTAATTCAAGTTTTAATAGCATTCAAATAAATCCCCGAGCTCAATGGAAGCTAGTTATAACGATATTACAGTCGGACACTTATATTAATAACTACACAATTTTATTTATATGTATAAATTTCATTCTTTTTATCTTTTAAAATACAAATCTGGACTGTGGCTCTGGACAAAGAACTTTGCGAAGGATGCGTAAATGGTTAAAGCCCACCGCAAAAGTTTTGGGGCAAGACAATAGCATCAAAGGCCCGTATACATTTCGGATATACAGATGTTTTTTGTTTAGACTACTATAATATTTATTGTTTTATCTATTTCGTGAAAGAGAAGTCACAAGTAGCCTTAATTCTTAATAATATGGTAGCTGAAATAATTGCGTCTGAGCATAAAATAAGAGAAATTATTTCTGATAATGGGGGACAATTTGATAACCAGCAGGTCCGTGACATTTTACGCATTAATGGCATTCCTCAAAGATTGACTATGCAATATATTCCCGAACAAAATGTGGTGTGCAAAAGGGATAATAGAACAATTGTAGAGGCTGCATGTTCAATGATGTATGCTAATGAAGAAATACCAAAAGGACTATGGGCTGAAATCGTAAATACCACTGTTTACATTTGAAATCGGACAGGGCCAACGAAGATTGCACGAAAGTCTCCTTATGAATTGTGGCATGGCAAATACCCATCTATTAAACATTTGAGAATTATAGGTTGCACTGACAACCTATGTTCATAATTCTACAAAATAGAATGAAGCTTGACAAAAAAGTTCAAAAAGGAATCCTGTTAGGTTATGAAGGAGACAATGGTTACCAAATTTGGAATAAGATAGATCATAATCTTATTCGCTCATGGGACGTTACTTTACAAGAAGTACCTTAGATAAGTCACATAACCTTCTACTGATGACATAGAAACTATACCAAAATGTAATCAGCTGGATTTTTCTGCCTTATCTGCTGTCCCAAATGATAATGAAAATACTCCAAGAGGTTATGTCAATAAGATTGAGGAATCTCGTGAAAGAATTACTACATTAGAAGTAACAGGTAATATTATGAATGAACAAAAACATTGCGTACAAGAAAATGAAGATAACATAGATGAATTATTGTTTTAACATGAAATTCAAAATGAATCTCAAATGATACTTCGGAACCGAGCAAATAACGTCCTTTTCGTTTTCAGGACTATGCCTATATGTGTTTGAATACCGAAATGATGGAACCAAAAACGTATAAAGAAGCAACTTCATGCTCTTATAGAGACAAGTGGCTATGGATAGTGATAGTGAAATCAATTCCTTTATGGAAAACTAAACCTGGGAATTAACATTACTTGGAAGTTCGAAAAGCAATACCTTGTAAATGGATATATAAGTTAACTCTGAATGTGAAATAGATCGCTACAAAGCCAGGTTAGTCGTCAAAGGTTACAAAGAGAAGTCATTGACTTCTACGAAAAGTTTAGCCCTGTTTCTAAAGGAAGTACCATTAGAACTATACTAAGCTTCGCTGCAAAAGAAAACTTGGAGATTGCGCAAATTGCTGTTTCAATCACATTTCTTTACGGAACACTTAAAATATTTATATGAAGCCTCCTGAATGTTATATCAGTAAATCCAACATGATCTGTAAATTTAAAAAGTCTTTATGGCTTAAAGCAGGCGGTATTAAAGTTGTTTAGCTATATATAATGTAAAATATCATTCTACCTCTCTCCTGATCTGTAAACTTATGACCGCCTTCATTACATTGAATTGCTTATTATTAGCTATTAGATTATTCTTCTTTCATTTTCTTCCAACAACAATATACCTGCCATCAAGCAATATAAGGGAAACCTGTTATTGGCAATACTTTTAGTTTGTTACGTAGACGTTAATATTTACTATATATGCTGTTGGATTTCTGAATAAATTACATTAAAAGTAAGCGTCAATCTAGCGTAGCTATATCATCTACAAGAGCTGAACTAGTTGCCGATAGTGAAGTAGCAAGAGAAATCATTTGTATGGATAAAATAATAAGATTTTTAATTGATAGTTGCGAAAGTATTCCCAGATTACATCTTGACAATGAGTCGGCTTTAAAGCTAACCCATAATCATCCATTTGAAATGCACCATCGAACGAAACATATTTGAATACGACAATTCTTTATTAGATAATGTGTTGAGCAAAGAAATTTAGAGGTGCTGAAAATATGTGCCAAAGACCAGCTTGCTGACATAAGAAAACCTTTATACAAACCACGAGTTCTGGTATTAACTATAAAAATGGGCATGAAGTGCTAAAAGTAAGGCGGATGTTAAGAAAAATATATGATATATTTCAATGATGTATCTTACTGATTGTCACACCTTGTTCTTATTGATTATCACATTTCTATAAAATTAAACTTCTGTTAATTTTTCTTATATTGTTTATTTAAAACTAATGTGTATGTTTTCAATCTTAACATTTAACATTTGCATAAGGTAGAGAGCGTCTTTTAAGCTTGTGTCAGATACTCCCGCTCCTCCATGACCATACAAAACATTTTAGAAACATAATATTAGGTACATAACATATTATCATACCTTAACAAAAGTGTTTAAAATTATTTAGAAATAATGTATGTGTGTGTGTGTGTGTACTTCATTTCTTTTCTTTTTTATTTGAAAGCTGGTGCTTCACATGTGGTCCCATATAAATTTGATTAAGTAAGGTCTGACCAATAGTTTTTGAGTTATTTTTATATTGAGGTCGGTTGTACAAAATTTGAAATTTTAAATTATTTCAACAAAATACTTGGGTGAAGTGTTCTACATTTACATGTTTATTTAATGAAGTATAGCTAGCCAAACATAGTTAACTAACGGGTCGGCTATGCTCGACCGGGTAGGAACACGCGCTCACAAAATAACAGCGCTCAGCGCTAGCCAGCCGGGAATAAGGCCGCGTGTGCGAGGCGTGTGCGGTTGAACGTCGATAAATGCAATTTCAGATTTATTGATTTGTCATAAGACTCAAACAACAAATTTCAAAGCTAGTTAGACTCTGGTGCTGAAGCGCGTGGCGTGCGCGTAGCGGGTGCGTGTCGTCGGAACGCGGCCTAATGCTGCTGCGTTTTGTATGGTGAGTGTAGATAACCGGAGACCGTTTTTAAGTTAACAAGGCATTGCATCTTAGTCCTCAGGGGTGACAACGCATCTGCATTTCGATTCTTAATCGATGATAGACGTAGATTTCTATGTATATACAACTTACCATCAGGTGGAATGTTCTCATTTGTCACCCTTATTCTAAAAAATTGGGCAACGATTTGATGACTGTCGTTACGTCTAGTAGTACATTTCGGGTCTTCGATTCTGTGGCCCGCCTTCGGTCTCGATATTTTTACTCTAGCGTAAACCGCCATATGATGGAAGCCAAGATATTTAAACTTTTTTAAAGGCTTGGAAAGTTAAAAATAGATGCATTATGAAATGACGATTTTTATAATTATTATTTCTACTCTTGTTGAATTAAAAAGATAAAAGTTAGAATGTAGTGGTTATATCTCTTTGACCAAAGGTTCAAAACCAATAAAGAATAAAAAGCCCAACAGATTGGGTGTGTAGACTGTCATTAACAATAGGTACTAGCGTTACTTTATGTGGGTAAATTACACTTTTTTTACAAATCGCAATTAACAATTTCATTGAAGCTGGTGGTGATAGTGGACAATATTGTGGTTTTTTTTTTAAAACTAAAGTGATAAACGAACTCTCAGTACACCTGAATGAAACCCCGCTGACACCGCATTGATTTTCTTTATACATATTAATATTTGCAATTGGAATCCATAAAGACTAATTTTAGATAAGCACCTAGGTAGTAAGTACTCATAGAAAAATAAAACAGAACGTGATTTATTATTGCAGATATTTATTTAGGTAAGAACATTGTAGAATTATCACAACAAATGCAGACGTTAATTCATTTCCAATATTGTTTTAGTTATTCCAATAGCTTTCTTCTGAGTGTTTCTTTTTAATTTCACAAAATCTGTAAAATATGTAATTGTAAGCTTAACTTAAATATTACAAAAATTTCCCTGTTTATTTGTACCTGATTTTACTATTGGCGCTGTTGTGACTGAATTATATAATTATCATAAATATCAAAATAATAATGATCACATAGTACGTGGGCCGTCGAATACCAGTCAGTTCCACCCGTGACCATGGGTGATGTAAAGTACTCGAAACATCGAGAATTTAAAATAGCTTTATTAAGCTATTTTAAATTTAAGTATATTTACTTACGCGATAAAATCCGTAAAAAACTTGTTTCATTTAAATATATGTATAAATTAATGTCGACTGATCATCGCACATTGTTCTAAAACAGTCGATCAATCAGTCGACAATCGATGCATAGATAGTTTTACCGAGGCTAAATCGATTACAATATTTGTAATAACGTACAGTTATTGTAATCGATCAACATTACTTATTCAACATGAATGGATGCGCATGAAAAATTAAATCGATAGCTCTTACGACATAAATCGATCTAATAGCCCGGTGTACTCGATGAAGTTCTAATTTTTTTAAAGGTAATCAAAACTTCAATACTGGTATCTTTGTAATCCATTGGTGCAACAAGGCTTCTCAAAAACACCGCCTAATTTTTGACTCCGGGTTGCTATTGAGAGTTTCTTGACAGAATAAACCAACAATTTTTTTGACCCGAGTTTTGAACCCTTTACCTGATGATAGGCAGCTT